TACATCATTTTTCAGAAGGAACTTGAACACCCTCGAATTTTGGTATTCCTCGTCATTTTTGGAATCAATGCCCCAGAGATACCAACAGATAAGTGTATATATGAAAGATATGGTGGTACTTCTTTCTAAAACCTCGCAGTGCAATGTGTAATAACAAGTGAAGAGGTGGAATACACGTGAAGACTGTGCTTCACAAAGGGATACAGGAATGGCTTACGGAGTAGATGAACTCATGTAAAATCTTACTGATATTTACTTGGATATTTTTAAAAACTGTTGACTATTCCTTATTACTTAGAGCCCAGTTATACTGGACCTGCTGGCTGATGTGTGAAAATGGAACACAGTTCACTCTGGACCTCCCTGTGCAGGACCACATGAACCATTAGAGTGATAAAAACCCACAGGTGACTCCACATAGGAACACTGGTGCCATCTCCCACTATTAGCATCTTCCTAATTGATGTCTTCTCCTCAATCAATAACCATGACTATGATATGCTCTGAAATTTTGTTCACCACATTTCTATTTTTTTCAATCCAATTTGCTCCTGTGATTATTCTTTTCATCATCAAAAAATTAATCAATTTCTCAATCCTCTCAATGTATTCTTAAGATAACCCACTACTTTTTGCTATTTCAAGTTTCATTTACAATACCTTCTATTATATTACAGTATCATAGGTAGTTCCTGCTTTCTTTCTGTACTACTTTTCTGCTTTTAGACTCACTGACTTTGCATCCTCCTTAGAGCCCTTAAAATATACAGCCTCAAAAGTCAATCCATAAAATAAACCACAAATTGAGTATTTATTATGAACCTGCCTTGTATCTGGCATCCATTAGTGTAGACTCAGTTCTTGGCTTATGGAAAAGCATGTTCTCATAGGCACCACCATTGCCAACTGTTCAGATACTAAATTTCATCCTTGAGTCCCCAGTATAGCACCACTTCACATACCCTCTCCTCAGGATGATCAAGGTGTATGTTCATGGAAGGAATTAGAAATTTTGTTGTCACTTGGAATTTTCTAAAGGTATGAGTACAAAGCATTGGTCTTCATTTCAAGACTATTGTTTTTCATAATGTTGAAGACACAAACAGTACGTGGTACTTCTGCCAAATAACAAATGAAATTCTTTGTCATTAAAATTCATTCAACAAATGTGTAGTGAGTTGCATGGGCTCTCTCTCGTCCAGCAAAGAGGTCCATGGAACAGGGTAGAGGAGAGTGTGGCTGTAGAGTCGCTAATCAAGACCTCAGGAGACCAAGCAGGAAGCAGGTCTGATTTTATTGTGCAGTTACCATGTATATATACTCAGACAGTAGCTAAGCAGATTATAGGCAGCCACCAATGCAATCTCTGCTAACTGTCCTTGCAGCAACCAATGGAGGAGTGGAGCAAGCACAGGGACTGTAACACATGGCTTCACGCCCAGGGCTCTGCCTATGGGGTAAGCAGCCTGCCACTCACGCCTAGCACAAGGGGAGTGGCCTTCCACTCAGACGCCCTTAAAGTATGCCAGGTACACAGTACTCCATGTACTTGTCCCCACAGTGAGTCCTTTTGAGCAATGAAATATGCTAAATAAAGAAACAAATATTATTTTTTCCAAATTAAAATGTACACACACACACACACACACATACACACACGCACACACGTTTTTATAAACTCATTTTTCACATAAGGAAAATCAAATTCAAAGAGAGTAAAAACTACCAACGTCCCCAAAAGATTTACATTCTATTTTAATACCTTTGTTATTACAATATTATGCAATATTATTACCTGCTTCAACTTTTAAAGCAGATAGATATTTATGAATCAAGACCACTGATATGAAATAAACATAAGCCTTTCATCACTTATAAACTGAGATGTATCAATTCTAATTGACACAATATCATGAAAGTAGCATATCTTGGATGCAATTAATGATGAGAGGTATTACATGATCAAAGTTTGAAATTATGGCCTTTGGCAAAAATCAACAAAAAAATAATACCTTAGATTTTGAGGGTAAATAATTTGTTGGATTTGCCAACATGGGCTGTTTTTATTTATCTTTCCCACCCCAACACCCACAAACGGAATCCTCTACCATTAGTTTTTATGTACCTTCAAGGAAAGGACCAAACACAATTCCTCCCACTTACAGACATTAAATCAATCTTTATCGAGTACATAAGTGAATAATAAATTAGCTCTTGAATCTGAATTGCTTTGAAAGCCATTCTGAATAGTGCTATGTCTGTAACTTCTAATGACTGTAATATTTATTAAGTGCCATTATTTCAGTTGCTAAAAGCTGTTGATGTGTTGAAACATCACAAAAATAAAAATGTAAACAGTCATCTGGACTCATCCAAATAATTCCTTTTTTCCTTGAAATTAATTTAGCTAAATTGCTTTACATAATGTAACTGGACAGTTTTTTTTTTTAAAGTTAAAGCTAAAGAAAAATACAAATGATAAAAAAGAGCATTAGTGGGAATATTACGAGAATTCTTAAAGCAGAAGATAAATAGAACCAAAATAAAGGAATGAAGAAAAGCAGAAAGATTACTAGAAGGATATATTTGAATAAATAAGTATGTGCAAGAATAATATATCTTGAAACATCTAAAATATATGTATCAATGAAACATTCTCAAAGGCAAGAAACAGATGAATAAGACAAAGTGTTTTAAATTTCTAGAATTTTCTGAGAAAAAAATTATATTAAACTAATAAGTCATACATGTATGGTTTAATATTTAGGCTAAATTAAAACAACAATATGTTGAGATAAAGGACTTTATCCTTGACTATATAATGGATTTTCACTGAGTAAGGAACAAACTATCCATTATAAAACATGCAAAAGATATACTAAACAGGCAGTCAATAAAGGGGATGCACTGAAGACAAGTATGTGGATAAAAAGATTAGGAATATGAAAATCAGGGTCACAAGGACATATCACAACACATGTATCAGAGAGGTAAAATAAAGATGCTGACAACACTGAATGCTGACAGAGATGTGGCGAGCTGGATCCCTTATACCTTTCTGTTGGGAATGTAAAATTTTACAATCACCCTAGAAAAAAACAATTGATTCTTAAAAGACTAAACATGCTTTGTAATCCAACCCAGTAGTTGTACTCTTAAGTGTTTACCCTAAGAAATAAAAATGAATATCCACATAAGAATGACTGCATAGATTTTCACAGTATCTTTATTTGGAACACCCCAAACCTGATATCCTTCAAATTGTCAATTTTTAAAATGTGGTATGTCTACATCATAAAATGCTACTATGAAAAACAAAAGGAATGAACAATTAAAAAAATGCAAGCACTTGGAAGAATCTCAAGGAAATTTTGCTGAGAAAAAAATACCATCCAGCAAAGCTACATAGTGTTTTTTTAAATTACAAAAGAGAGATAAGTAACAGAACAAGTTTTCACAATTAGAGACATGGTGGGATAGAAGGCAGGTGCCAGCAAGGTCAGAGGGCTAGAGATGGACTCTTGTGGAAACAGAGAAGTTTTGTAGCTGACTGTTGGTAAATACAGGAGTATGCACATGGAATGAAGTTTTGTAGAACTGAACAGACACACACACATACACACACACAGACACACATACATGCACACCAAACACACACACACACACACACACAAAATCTGAATGATCTGTAGATTTTATCAATTCCAAATTCCTAGCCATGATGTTGCACTATGCTTTTGCAAGATATTACCATTTGGAAAAATAGGTAAAGTATATAAAGTCTCTATGTAGTATTTCTCATAACTGCTTGTGAATTCATAATTATATCAAAATAAAACATTCAATCACAAAAAGCTAGTGTTTTGTACAGCAAAAATATTAGTAGGGTAGATGCAGTCCCAGATAGATCAGTAATCACATTAAAAGCAACTAAACTAAGGAATCTAATTAAAAGACTAAGATTGTTATTTTGGTTTAAAAATAAAAAGGAAAAAGGGGAAATCCAAATATATACAAATTGGAAGAGATAGCTTTAAAGAACTAAGAAGAGTTGAAAAAGGAGTTTATAAAATGTATAGAACAATATATAATCTGGTTAGTATTTATCCTAATGGAGATAAAATATACTTGAAGGCAAGGATATTTTCAGAGACATAGGTTGTATCATAAAGACAAAGTTACACATCAGGAATAATTCTAAATCTTCTTGTATACACTAACATAAAGTTAAATATATACAGTGAATGCTGACACACACTAAAAGGAGAAAAATACTATCATGGAAATGGGAGACTTTTAACACATCCCTCTCAATACTTTGCACCATAAAAAAAAAAAACCCACAAAAATATCATTAATAATATTAAAGCTCAGAACCACTCAAAACCCCATATGACCTACTAGAAATATGTGTGACATTGTACTAAAAATGACAATATTCAGCCTTTCTAAAGGCATATGGAAATGTCTTCCCAATTCTTCATCAGCTGGGTAAAATCAAGCCTCAACAAATATGAAAGGATTGAAATCATCCAGCATGAAATTATACTAGAAAGCAACAACAAAAGTGATAATTAGAAAATCCCAAATTCATTCAAAAATTTGCAGTACACTTTAAATATTCCATGGGTCAAAGATGTAACAAAAAGTAGTCAATATCATTAAATAAATAAAAGGAAGACAAGAATATCCACACTGGTGGATTTCTAATACTGGCTATTCTAAGGAGATGCTCCCTAATGCACTTACAGGATCTTGGACAGGCACAAGCAGTAGAGATGACCCTGCTAGGTGAACCATAGGGCTGCTTGCCTGGCAATCTTGGGCTTGAGGAGTGACCAGATGGGCCAGTCCCCTAGATTTCCTTATTGCCTCCATCTATCCTAGACTTGGCCCTTTAGAAACATGCTAAACATTGGCATGAGAGGGCATACTATGTTAAGTTTGAGTACAGGTCTCTTCTTTTCAGTCGACAAGATACAGAACCCACGTGAACTCACCGAGTCAAATCTGTGCCGGGAACATATTGGGACAAGCGGGAGTGAAGCAGAGGGATCAGTCTGAGGTCACACCATCGCTTCTCCCATCTCAAGCCTGGAGATGTTGGCCATGAGGAACATGATAGGGTGTCCTGAAAAGAAAACAAATATTCAAACATTCAGATTCATGTTTGCTTCCCTGCTTTGGGTTTCTGTGCCAGAAACTCGTTTCATTTGTGGGTCACCATTATTGTTGTTTTTTCCTTCATGTTAAATATTTTTAAAGACTTTTTTTCTTCCTGAGAAGAAACCCCAACTGATTTACACTAAAATTGTATTTGTCAACCTCTCTGTTAATGGAATTCTGCATGAAGGTGTGGAAGGATTCATTCAGATGAAAAAAATGCTAGTGAAAATACAAGGGGGTGCAGATGTGGAAGGGAGGAAAGAACGTGCAGCAGAAATGAATCCACCGAGGAGTGGGAGAGACAGGCAAAGCAGCAACTGCTGTGAACCAGGATGTGAGAAAAATAAAAAGGAGCCCATTATTCTTTCAATTAGACAAGATTTTCTGAGTACCTGCTAAGTGCTAGGCAAGCATCATTATAAGTGCATATAATTTATCATTTACTTGCAAATATTTTTGAATGAATGAGCCTTTCTATAAAACAGCTTTCAAAACATTGCTCAAGGAAGTTTGGGCTCATTGTTTTAGCTTCGTGTTTATAAAACCTGACATTTTCTTGTATTGTTTTGATGTCATATTGAGGCAATTATTGCTGGTTTGAAATTACATGTAATATAAGTCTGGATGGGCGTCTTTTTTCGTCGTCCCTCATTTATTGAGGAGACGTCAGGAAATTTGAGCATTTCCACATCGTTTTATTCCAGATTCATTGTTAACATAGTTTTGCAACAGCAGTTGACATAGACTGTAAGTGTGTTCTGGTTTCATTTGACCAGAGAACTGCTGAATTGTCACATGTATTCACTAATTTTTGAGTGATGGTGTTAGAAGAATTTATTTTAGTCTAGATTTGAAGTTGTATTGTATAAATATGTTTGAGCATTACCTTCAGGAATTAATTTCCTTAAATGGAAATTAACTAAATGGAAAAGAATAATATTATGTCCAGAATGCACTATCTTTGGGGTTGCTTAAAATACTCAGAAAGTTTAACTAGCTAAGCTCAGCCAGTGAAGGGAAGGGCCCCTGTTGGGGACTCATTGAACTACTTACTCAGCCTCTGAGACTCATGTCCTTTGTTTAAAACAAAATTGCTTATAATGATTATCTGGTGATTGTGAAGACAAAAAAACCAAGGTTTCATATGAGGGATGTTGCAGATGGTCAACATGTGACATGGGGTCAGTTGGGGAAAATTCAACAGGATGGTGGCTCAGTTTCCCAATGAGAACCAGACCACCCAGGTTTTAATCCCAATTTCCCAACTGTCTAGTCCATTAACCTAAGGTCAAGTTATTTAAAATCTGTGTCTTACTGTGCCTATTTTCAAAGCAGGGATATTAAGAGTCATAACTGGTAAGCTTATAGTCAGTAATAAATGAAGAAGCACTTAGACCAAAACAGTGCACCGAGCTTCAATGCTAATTTCAGTACCTCTAAGAGCTAACAGAATTTTTACATTCACCAATAACAACAGGCTGATTAGAAGAATCATTTAGTTGCAGTAAGTAAACACTGGAAAGTAATGTGTTTTCAAAAGAAATAACCTTGAATAATGGACAGACCTATTTCTAAACATGAGGTTTCCAGGAGAAATCATTACTACTTCTAGTAATAGTACTACTACTGTTGCTTATTATCTTTCTCTATAATTGATTTTTTTATCTTCTTAAACACTTTGGAACATCTTTGCAAGATAAAGATATTACAATGCTCATCTTACAGAGGAAAAACTAAAGCCTGTTTATTTTAGAAGCAATGAGTTATTACTTGCCACTCTTCTGCTAGAGACTACATGGGGAAACAATTGCTGTGTGCCAGACTTGAGCAAACAGACTGGTTTCTGTGGCTAGGCCAGAGCGTCCCAGGGTTTTAAATCAGTCTTTCTACTGGTCTCACATCATATATAACAAATGTCAGTCCATTTGGGAGGTCAGTTCTTCATGGAAGATGTCATGGGTGGTCAGCATGGGATATGGAGTATCTTTGTTATTTTGGTTGTTATAGGAGGTCAGCATGTAAAAAGTCCTACATCACAGCCTACATCATCCCACAGCTGAAACCCACTCCCAGCAACCTGTACACATGCATATGCCTGAGAAGTTCTACAGCTGTCAATTCACCATGGCAGCCTGCTAGTCAGTAACCAACTCCAGGATTCACTCAGACCCAAACCTCTCTAATTCCAAAGAGAAATCTCAGCACAGCATTTATATTCATTATCAGAAGGGGAAAAATGGAAAGAATAATTCAGATTTTTTTCAGTTCATTACTTTATATTTTTATCACATATTTTAGGCAGCTTATTTAAAAATGAATAAACTCATGAATGAACAGGATAGAAAATATTAATGAGCATAAAAATATGGGCAATGGAACATTGAAGATGATAATAATCATGGAAAGGTGAACATAAAACATCGAAGATGATAATAATCATGGAAAGGTGAACATAAAGTTTTACAAAAAATATTTATAGGTATCATAAATTGGCATATATGAAAATATATGTGTTCTTTGGTATTCCTTTAGAATATTGATTTGATATTTTATATATTAAAGATATATAGAAGTCACTTTCTCTTAGGCTTGCTAAGTTGAATGTTTTCCATGTGAACAGCAGAGCATACATTTGGTTTGTAGTCTCTAAACTTCTTAAATTCAACTAAATCAGGTGTTCAAAATCTCTATAGCCCTTGCCTCCTATTAGAACACTAATATATATTAGAACACTACTGTTCTTTAGCTGCTTATTTTAAAGTTATTTCATGAATTTGTCTGTAGCTATGATTTTTAAACTTTTTGGGTCAGGAATCATTATTAATGGCTTCCATAAATACCAAGTGTTTCCATGATTCTCAGCAAGTTTTAAAAATCTTACACATTGAGATTATCTTCTTTATTCTGAATGTTATCTAATCTGAATGTACATGCATCTTGATTCTCATCCTCTAAAACATTACAAGCACCTTTATAATAAAGTTTCCTTAGCATTGTCAAAGAACACTTCAATTGTAATGCTAAAAATGAGAATAAAATATGCTTCTTGCAAATGAGAAGAAATAGCTCCAATTTGAAAAAAAAAGTGTGGCAACTGGTATTTTGAATCTTATACAACTGGATTTGTTTGTAATATCCATCTATAGAACTACTGAGTAATTTTCTCCCTATAATTATAGCTTTCTAAATGATGACATTATTCCATAGTTGTTTCTCTGTACAACAATAAAATGAGTTGAAAACAAACCAGAATAATTCCTTCCCTTAGACCTTTTGTTCTGACTTCTCTGTTCCTCATTATTCTAGAGGAGTCCAAGGACATCAGACAAGCATTAGATCCACATTACCAAACAGCTTTCTGCTATTTGAAGTAAATCACAAATATTATTATAATTTTTTTTCGGGGGGTCTTAGGAAGATAGATGAGATGGAGATGGAGATCCTTATGAGAACAACACATAGAGGGAAATTTTTCAAAAGAAACCTATGAGCACTGAAGGAACCAAGGATGAAGTGGCAACACCCTGGCCAAAGATGAAACTCCCTGAAGGAGGGGCACCACCCCATCTGCTCAGCCACTGGAGGGACCTGCCTTTGTCTTCCCACTCCCAGGGCCCAATGACTCCCCAGCACAGGGCTCCTCATGAGAGGAGTCAGTTGTGGGAAGAGGTAGCCCACACTGCAGCTAGGGGCAGGTGCACCTTTGTGTAGGAGGAAGTGCAAGGGCACTGAGAGTATTAAAGGAATCACACGGAGGAAAACAAAGGGAGTGGGCAAAGAAATCTTGAAAGCTAAAGGATTAAAGAAATCGGGCCTGGGAGTGTAGCTCAGTGGTCAAGCACTTGTCTAGCATGTATGAAGCCCTGGGTTCAACTCCAGCAACATAAAAAACCAGAAAAAGCAAACAAATAAAATACCTTGGTTGGAGAATTTAACAAATCTGTTGAATTGAGAAAGTATCTGATGGGAACACCGGGGAAAAAAATGTAGTTTTCACATTAGAGACACTAAAGTTTTAAATCATTCAGATCTTTCTGTTCTCAGGTTATCAGTGCTTTAAATATTATCTATTAGAATGAAAAATATCAGGTAAATATAACCATATGTGGTTGGTGTTATAAGATATCTTTAAATTTGTAACAATAAACATTGGTCTTGCCAAATCCTCTCTATAAGTGGAAAAGAGGAAAAAAAAAACCCAGAAAACTTGGTGACTTAAGACACTCAGCTAAGGAATAATTATGGTGCAGGAGGGCACAATTAAGACCATTTGGACTTGAACATGCAAAAACAAAAAAAAAATGAAATAAAATGCCACAATTCAGCAAATTGAGGATGAATCATGCAAGTCAGAAGGAAAAGCTAGAGGTTTTATATATTTTAATACATGGAACAGAGAAATAAAATATTACTTAAGGTCAACTTGTTTCTCTTCCTAAATGTGAACACATTGTTAGATCTACATATAAGCAGAGAGAATTGTTTTATCTTTGAAATGTGTTTTGAAAGTTGAAATGTAAGAAATTTCAAAAATACTTGTGAAATAAAAAATCTACTCACTAAAACATACAAGTAGAAATAAACACTAAAAATGTATTGAAGTCTAGGAAACAATTATGTTCATTTTATATACATTTTAACATAATGTGTAGTAGGTTGGATTTTGTCACCTTGCTGTAATTCCCTGATAAACAGAAAGATTTCTAAGAAATTGAACACATGATAAAGAATTACTTTTAGCTAAATAATTAAAAGAGAAAATGATAAAAATTATGCAAATAATATATAGCATGGACTTACATATAATATAAAATGTTCCATAATGATTGCATCATGTTATTTGTGACCTGTCCAAGTTAAAAGCTTTCATAACAAAGTACTTATTATAGACAAACCTGAGAGGAGAGGAATCTCAAAAATAAATAAATAAATACATACATATATAAATAAATAAATAAATATAAAGTAGAATATGATCACGGGCATACTTATTTTTTCTTCCTGACTTATTATATTACATAATTGATGAAAGGACAAAGAATTTAATATTTACAAAATAAATCAGATTTAATAGTTATTTGTCTATGAAAAATGTGTAAGCATATGTGTATGTATATATATGTGTATGCATATGTGTGTATGTGTGTATATTATATATATATATATATATATATATATATATATATATATATATATATATGAGTGTGGGTATGTTTGTGAGTGGGAGTGTGTGTTGTATGTACACATATGCTTGTTGGCATGAGTGTGTGTGAATGTGTGTTACCTCCTCATTAGTCTTAACTATGCCTAGGACATCTTACTGTATTGTTCGGATGATAGTTGAGATGCAAGCCACTGTCACAAAGAGGAGAAGAGGTACCACTGCTCTGGTCACTTGGAGCACCTGCAAGAGACAAAATTGTAATATCCCACCAGTTAGGATGGCACACCGTTCTAGATGGCCACAGTCCACATTAAAATTTCTTTAATTCTCAGTAATGACAAAAAAAAAATCAGGTTCTAAAATAAAATCGCATTTTCCTTATACCCAAGAGTTTTGCAAGTAAGGTATTGGGGCACTGCAAAATTTTGTTTCTCTACAAAGTTTCATTTTGTGTCAACCTACTAGCAAATTTTATCCTTAGAAACTAATTTTCCAAGTTGCAAAAACTTTTACATATACTCTGTCTTTAAACCCGCTCTTATACCTTCATTGAGTCTGTCTAATTTTGTGAAATTGTAATGATCCTCATGAGAAACTCAGTGATATCTATTTTTTTTAAATATTAGTAATGTTTATCTTAAAGACTTCTATTTTTTTTCAAGATACCACAATTGAATAATCCGACCTTAATACAGGTCAAATTATAAAACTTATTTCTTGACTTCTGATTATTTTTTCTAAAATATTATCATCTTTGTGGTTGCTAATACTTAAATATGATCTATTAATGTCCATCATTTCTAATCATTATTTGAAATATCATACTTATGTTCAAATGTCACAGATAGATAGGTGACATCTCTATCATAATCCATTTATTCAAAATATAAAATATTTTATTCTCCTTTTTTATTTCTTACTATAAAATTGTCTTTTTGCTATTACATTGAAAATATTCCCTATATAAGAATATAGAATTAGCAACTGTGATCTCAACACAATTGTTATAGTATTGTTACGTGTGTGTCACAAATACTTTCTTTAATTCTTTAGAAAATTTGTAGAAACATGCAACACAGCTGAAAGTGATGCTGCACACCTTTAGTCTGTGCAGAATGAGGCAGGAAGATCGTGAGTTGGAGGCCAGCCTCAGCAACTGAGCAAGATCCTCAGCAACTGTGAACAAGACCCTGTCTCAAATTTTTTAAAAATAAAAAGGTCTTGTTATACAGCTCATTAGTAAAGTGCTCAGGTTCAACCTCAGTGCCAAAAGAAAAGGGAAGAAAAGGAGGAAAATAAAAGAAAACAAAAGAAAAACATGAAACCCTTTCATACTGAATAATGAAGAAATTTTGAAAACTCTGAATAGACAAAACCAGTAAGGAGATTGGATCATGAACTTAAAACATCTTTAAAAATATTAGCCCAGGACCAGATGGTTTCGCTGGATAACTCTACCAAACATTTAAGGAAGAATTAACAATTAAAAAAAAATGAAGAGGAGAGAATTTTTCCAACCTCAAGACAAGCATTATTCTGATGCCAAAGTTAGATAAAGATACTACAAAAAATAAAAAAACTATAGGCCTGTCTGTCAGGGGTTGAGGTGGGGGAACGAGAAGCTGTTGTTTAACGTATACAGAGTTTCAGTTTTGAAACATAAGAAATTTCTGGAGAATTGCTGCATAACAGTGTGCATATAGTTAACAGTACTGTATTATATATTGCTTAAGAGGGAAGTCTTATGTGTATTTAGTACAATGGAGATATGCTCACTTTGGAAATATGTGTGGCAATTTATTAATAAATTAATTATTCATTCATCCTGTCACTTAACAATTACTCCACTAGATTTTTATTGTAGTACAATAAAAATTGTGAAATTGCCCAAAGACTTATAAAGATCATTTATACTAGTTTTATTATTAATAGCAAGATACCAGAAATAGATGTGGTATTTTCAACATAAGATTACATTAATAAACCTAAATGTATTCATCCAATGAAATATTACATAGCAATATGAATGAACAAACTACTGAAATGTATAGCTTTGGTGAACCTAAAAGAAATTATTCATAATAAAAGAATCCTGACATGAAAAACAAAACAAAACAAAAAAAACCTAAACAGTATGATTCCATTCCAAAATGTTCTAGAAAAGGCAAAATAGTGATGGGAAATCATGTCAATGTTTGTTCCTGTGGCTGTTGCTTATTGGAAAGAGTTACTGAGGTTATGTTCTGATTGAAAGGAATGTGCATTAAAAAGGTGTCTTCTCTTTCAGAACTGAACCAAGTGTGCATTTACGATTGTTGAATTTTGTTGAAGGTAGATTATTCCTCAGTTAAACATATATTTATCAATTTTGAGAAAAGTAATAGAGGATATGCATTTCATTTCAGCAAAAAAGAGCTAAGAAACTAATAGATGAAAAAGTAAGCCCTAATGTTCATCATGTCAGCTTAGGACTTGATTTCCTTAACATGACTCCTAAAGTACAAAAATAAAATCAAGAATCAATAAATGGGATGGATTTGAGCTGAAAAGTTTCTTCTCAGCAAAGAAAACAATCAGTAATGTGAAGGAAGAGCCTACAGAATGGGAGAAAAATCTTTACCACATGCACATCAGACAGAACACTAAGCTCCAGGATATATAAAGAACTCAAAAAACTTAACAGCAAAAGAACAAACAACCCAATCAATAAATGGATTAAGGAACTGAACAGACACTTCACAGAAGAAGAAAAAAATCGATCAAGAAACATAAGAAAAAGTGTTCAATGCCTCTAGCAATTAGAGAAATGCAAATCAAAACTACTTTAAGATTTAATCTCATTCCAGTTATAATGGGAACTATCAAGGATACAAGCAACAATAAGTGTTGGTGAGGATGTAGGGGAAAAGGTGCACTCAAACATTACTGGTGGGATTGTAAATTGGTACATCCACTCTGGAAAGCAGCATGGAGATTCCTTAGAAAACTTGGGATGGAGCCACCATTTGACCTAGCTATCCCACTCCTCAGTTTATAGCCAAAGGACTAAAAATCAGTATACTACAGTGATGTAGCCACATCAGTGTTTATAGGAGCTCAATTCACAATAGCTAACTGTGGAACCAACCTAGATGTCTTTCAACAGATAAATGGATAAAGGAAATATGGTACATATACACAATGGAATATTATACAGGCTTAAATAAGAAGAAAATTATGGCATTTGTAGGTAAATGGACGGAGCTGGAGAATATCAGGCCAAGCGAAATAAGCCAATCCCCAAAACCAAAGGCCAAATGTGTTCTCTGACATGCAGATGTTGATCCATAATGGAGCGGAGGTGGAGGGGCATGCTAGGGAAGAATGGAGAATCTTTGGATTGGGCAGAGGGGAGTGAGGAGAGGGGAAGGATGTTGGAATAAAAGGAACATTATCACCCTCATATTACATATGTATATGTATGACTACATAAATGGCGTGACTCTACATCTTATATAGACAGAGAAATGAGAAGTTGTGGTCCATTTGTGTATAATGAGTTGAAATGCATTCTGATGTCATGTAAAACTAATTAGAAAAAAACTAAGAAAGAGAAAAAATATATCTGATAAAGAATTTTTTAAAGTAACTCTTATTTAAATTATTACATTTCCACAAAGGAAAATCCTTCCTTCAAACTTTCTACTTTTTTTCAGGACAACTTATATATAAATTCCTACTTAACTAAGTGCATCATTTCTCAGCTAAATAAAATGTATTTATCAAATATTCTGAATAAAATTCAATACAAATACGAAATGCAAAATGATGTTTGTTATGATATTGAAACAAACAATGTTTCTTCAATTACAGGTTGTAAAAGGACTGTGCTGAATACTCTGAAACAAAATAACATTTTCCTTTTTTTTTTTTTTTTTTTTTTTGGTGCTGGGGATTGAACCCAGGGCCTTGTGCATGCAATGTAATAAGCCTTAGTAGAACACCTTATGATTAAAATGTCAATATTTAGGTAGTCATCCTAATATCCAGACCAATGATTGCCAATTATTGGTCAGAAAATAGTGCTTTATAAAATGAGTGTGATCATGTGAATATTTTATCCATTCTCTAAAAGTGCTTACATGCACAGTCTTCATTCAATGGGAGTTTAAGGAAGGCGGGTGCTCTTTTTAAAAATGAAACAGTTAGAGTCACTTCTTCTCCAGCATTTCGAAGAACCTGAACCTAAAAATAAAAAGAATTAAAATGAACATTTATCATTATTCTTATAATTTTATATGATTACAAAACATTGAAATTATTGGTTGTCTTTTCTACCTCCTATCTCTCTTTATTGGTCAGAAACATTTTTTTTTTTTTTTAAATCAGAGGGAATCGATGACTCTACATTGTAATAATACAACCTTTGATGTCCATCCTCACTGTTTTTCTTGGTGGTCTCCTTTTCATATATAATGTGCACTTCCATTCACATTTATTGAGGTCTTCTTGGGCTTATGATCTAAACTACCTTTGCCTAATTAGTGGTACCAGGACACTCAATCAGGAAAAACTCTTTCCACCTCCTTGGACAACAACAGCATGGGATCTCAGCCACAGAAATAGCCTTGAACATGGTCTAGAATACATATTGTAGATCTGGGAGTGTGACACATTGGTAGAGCACTGGTCAAGTATGTGCAAGATGGGGTTCGAAGCCCAGCACCACAAAAACAAAATATGCATTGCAAATGGAACCATAGAGCACAAAACTCTGTGTGAAGCAATGAATTCTTGCTAAAAAAGAAAACTATTGAGACACATCACTGCCTATCATGATAAACAAATTGGCAAAAATGCAATAAAAATCATGTGTCAACCAGGAGTATCACTTTGAAAATATCAATTTGAAAGAGAAAAGATAATCAACTAACAACATTGAGATAAATCACATATTGGAATTTTCTGACAAAAAAATTGTTTTCAATATGATTATTATGTGAATTTAATTTATTTAACATAAATCACTGTTGTATCAGCAATACTAAAAGGGGAGCATTTCCCTTTTAATTAATACAAAGTAATTTGTGATATCTGATTCTATATTTTTTTCCTAGCAATTTTGACATGAAAACTATGTTTATATAACTAAGACCTTCTATTCTAAAGACGGCAATTCAAATGAAAACTTACCACAATTTGTATAATCATACCCAAATATATGTGGAACAGTTGGATATTTGTTTAAGAGCATATATGACATAATCTTCATATGAAATGTGAGAATGATGGTAATTCTAAGAAGTGAGAGGAAATTGAAAAACCTATGTAAATACTATTTTTTCTCCAGCTGCAAGTGAAATTGAGATTCAATGGATGCCTATATCCACTGTGAATTTTAAGTTGATAAAAGAAATAATTCACCTGCTAAATGAACTGACAGCAGAGTACTCAAAAATCTCTACATCTTTAGTCTTAGTCACATATGAGTTGAGTTTCCTAGTTAGGAGAGAATGGCAGGTGTGGTCTCACCTGTATGTCCACCCCAATGGACAGTCACATTCAACAAATCTGGGCAAAGGCACAGATGGTATAAACACCCAGGGAGACCAAAATGTAAGTCTACTTACATGTCTGACAAGAATTTTAATGCAATCCTAATAAAAATGTTTCACAGAGGAAATACAAATCTTTTAAGTAATTTTTAAATGAAAAATTACAAAATCCCAGCAAAGAAATTTCAAGTTATAACAAAGATCCAACTGGAAATTATAGATCTGAGACCGAATAACATAATAAACATAACATAATAAAATAATTTCTGTATTAGCTCAAAAATAGAGATGAGGAAGGATAGATCTAATGAAAATGAGGCTAGAACAGTAGAATTTACCCAAAATGAACAGCAGAGATGATATAGATTTTAAGAAACCATAGATTCAGTAACCCACATGATAAGAGCAAAGCATACAAAGTTTATATCAAAAGGGAGATGAGAAAGAAAATTAAGACTGTAAAAATATGTAAAAAATAACTGAAAAATTCTCAAATTGGGTCATAAACATGAGCCCACAGCCTTAAGAAGTTTGTAATAAACACTGAAAATAATGATAGTAGAAAAGAATTTTCTCAAATTGGTATAGGATACCTATAAAAATAGTAACTTCATTATAAATGGTGAAAGATTGAGAGCCTTAAATCCATGGGTTAAGAAAAAATAAAAGAATATCCATAGTAACCACCTTTAGTCAAAATTTTAATTGAGTACTATTCTAGGATGAGGGGATAAGTACCCAGATTCAAAAAGAAGAAACAAAAATCTTTTTTTTTTAATATTTTATTTTTAGTTGCAGTTGGACACAAGACTTTTATTTTATTTATTTTTATGTGGTGCTGAGGATTGAATCCAGGGCCCTGCACATGCTAGGCAAGTGCTCTACCACTGAGCCACAACCCAAGGCTCCCCCCACTCCCAAAACAAAAATCTTTATCTCCAGATGACATGATAATTTATATAGACAATTCAGGGGGTAAAAGTATTAAAACTAATAAGTGATAATAGTTATTTTTAGCAACACTGCAGGGTATGAGATAAATATACAAATAACAGTTATTTTTTTGTGTCTTAGCTATCAGAATTTCTTACTTAAAATCTAGCACCATATATAAAAAGAACAAAATGCAAAATACTTATGTATTAACATAACAAAAGTTATGAAGTTCTATACATGTAAATCTCCTGATCATTTCTAAGAGTAATTTTAAAATTTGTAAGTAAGTGCACCAGAGAACTCAATACTGGTAGGATAAGGGCAATTCCAATGGGAAGGCAGCACTTTTCTGCAGAAATTGACAACTGTATTCTAAAATTCATGTAAAAATTCAAGAAATATAGAATACACCATCTCTGAAAAGTTTTATTCTTAACAATTGTTAACATTACTTGATTTCAGAAATTATACAAAGTATCAAGCCATGTGAAATTGTCAAAAAGGAGACACAGATGAAATTTGAAGAGTGTGCAGAAACAGGCACAAACAGAAATTTAAAAAAAAATAATAATTTTCAACAAAAGTCAAAGAACAATCTTCCCAATCAACAGTGCTTTGGGAATCTCAGGTGTAATCATTAAAAATAAAAGGAAAAAAAAAGAATTTCAACCTGTACCTCAAACTACATACTAAAACTACATTAAATTGAATGAGAGACATAAATATAAAACGTAAAATTATAGAATTCCTAGAAGTGAACTTTGAAGAAAATCTTTGTGACAGTACAGTAGAAAAAGATTTCTTAATTATTACACATAAACAACCCACAAAAGAAGAAATGATTAAATTGGAAGTCATAAAATCTTAACCATTCTGTTGTATGAAAGACACTCTCAAGGGAGCTACAAGCTGTGAGGAAATTAATCTTTATCTGATAAATTATATAAAGAATTCTCAAAAATCAATAATAAAGCAAATGATCCAGGAAGACATAGGCAAAATTCTTAAGCATATATGTCCCTAAGAAACTTATATTGATGGCAAATGAGTGCATAAAAATATGATTGACATGATTAGAAATCAGGAAACTGAAAATTAAAACAGTGAGATACCACTCTAATTCTTCTGAAATGTCTAAATTATAAGTGCCTAAGATACTAGGCTTGGGCAAGGTAGTGGAGGAACTAGGAATCTCAGGTGTTGCTCATGGTAATATAAAATGCACAACTTTAGAAAAGACCTTGGAATTTTCAAAACATTGATATGTAAATCTACTATAGGATCCAGCACATTTATTTTCAGAAATTTGCCAAGTGAAATGAAAGCTTAAATCTTTACAAATATTTTTTCACTAATGCTCATAGTAGCTGCATTTGCAATCCTCAGAAACTGCAGACATCTTAAATTTCCATTAAAAGGTGAATGGATAAATAAACAGAGGCATACTTTTATAACAGAATATTATTCAACAATAAGAAGAAATGAAAATGTACTATTGATTTAACTATAAACTGAAAGAATAGGAAAGAGTATAAAATAATTACACTGAGTAAAAGAAGTCAGGTAAAATACTCCCCATAATGCAATTTTATTTATATAAAATGGTAGAAAATGCACACTAGACTATAGTGTTACAAATCAAATTAGTTATCTCACTAAAGGGAAGAAAGGAAGAAGTGAACGAATCATAAGGTGGTAAAATAAAATGGTAGGGTAAATGAAAATTTGATCTTGACTATGCTGTTGACTTTTGGATAGTGAGCTGAGAATAAATCTCAATAGAGTTTTAGATATAAGTGATAACAAACATATATGTACATGTATACCCAGATATATAAAACTGCCAAATTGTGTACTTTTTAAAGCATGTATAAGTTTATTGAATATAAACTGCATTCCAATATGAGTGACTTTATCAACACAAAATATTTTTAAACAATGCAAAAAATAAAAGTATTTCACTATATTAAAAGTAAAAAGAAAATGTAGAAAATGATGCAATAATTTTTATAGATGTAAAAAAAGTTGATAAAACCTTTTAGAAAACTGAGTACACACACTATTATCCTACATATTAAAAGGATATCTACAAAAAAACTTAAATATCATTGTTAATGGTGAAATTATTGAATAATTTATCTCTGAGTTCACAATGAGGTAAAAATGTCAATTATTCCCTTTTTTCCTTAATATTTTTCTGGTCTTAATGCAATCAACAAGAAAGAAAATAATATGTAATAGAACTGGGGGAAAAAAGGAAATTATAATTATGCAGAGATAACAGTATTTTAAGGATGGGAAATATTTAATAACTTATAGACATTATTACATAGGATATAATTGGGTCATTAAGAGAGCTCACTGTAGAATATTAGGTACAAAATTGATATGAAAATATCATAAGATTTTGTTAATATTAACAAACAAATTTAACATGAATAGTTAAATCAATAGAGGAATATTTTATGTCATGATTTGCTATATACAATAACAATATTATTTATGCTCTATTTTTATATAAATTCAAGACAAGCACACTCAAAGTCCAATTTTGATTTCATTTTTTGGCTTAGTTTGACCTTATTATTTTTTCTTATGGATTTGCACTGACATTATAGTATAAACACAACATTGATATCATCAATAGTACATAACTGACTAGAGAATTTTGACAAAGTGAAATATAGGAGGAAGTAGAATAAAGCAACCAAATACTCATATTCAAAGTGTGCAATAAATAATACGTAGGGTTAA